TGTTGGCATTCTCTCCTCGGAAGCTACAGCAAGGTGGGAGCTGGCTGCTGGGGGAAACACGTCCTCCTGGACACGTAATTTCATAGCACGCACAGCGGGAGCCACTTCTACCCAGAGCAGAACGAATTAATTTTGTTTCCATGCCAATTTTCAGATTAAAGTAAAAAAGAAAAAAAATAAAGATTCCACAGGAATTCCATAAGAACTCTGGATGCAGGTATGTCTCACACCAGCTTTTGCTTGTCTGTTGAGGATGATCAGGTTTTCTGTGGCTTTCACAGATTATGTCTTTGCAATGATGGAACCGTTTAAAGAGACACAATGACGTCATCATGAAAACAGGTCATAACCACAACCACATGCTACTGGGACATATCTGGCATCATCTTTTTTTCTTACTAACTATAGATACCGCTGTTCATTTGGGGGGGAAAAGGCAGAAACTCAGCCACACACCTCATAGGAAGGTAAGTTTTGTCACCTTTCTACACAATAACAAGAAATAAAGTATTTCTAAGGAAGAACATTGTTTTCAAATCTATTATATGTCTCGCTTCTATTTTTTTCATTAAAAATAAACATGCAAAAGGGAAACAAACAAAACTAAAGATGGTACAGATACTGCTTGTGTGCTCCTAACACAATAATCTGGTAAGTGATTGACAACAGATTTTTTCCAACAGTTAGGAAACTGCCTGTACTACGCACAGGCAGTTTGCAAACCCTTTCTTCGCTAGCCTACAAAGCAGTAGCTGAACAAGAAAAGTGTGTTTCCCATCTCATCACTCAAGCTATGTCATTTCTCTGTCATTCTGCCCTTTATATCAGTTTTTGACGGGGAGGCACGCCCAAGGGAACATTGTATACTATAGCACAAACACTTTGAGATAGCCTCATCACTTTTTTCCCCCCAATCTTAAGAACGATTTATCTGTTTGTAAACAGAAAGCATGACCCATTACCTGATAATTCGATCTACCTGAAAGGTTCTTGGATTAAAAGGGTAGTAAGCACTCTAGCAGGAGCCTAGGGAACTAACAGTGATTTCACTGAGCACACATACACGTCTTAAGACCTGGATAATGGCAGCCTTTGTGAGAGTCCTTCTAGGACCGGCCAGTGTATGACAAAGAAGAAAGCCAAATGAAAAGAAAAGGGGACCTGTTCTTGTTTCAGGTGGCACGTTATTAATAAACAACCGGTATAAACTATGAGTGAAATCAGCAGAGTCAAATCCACATAAGAGCAGAGCTGCAGAGTAGACAGTTTGGCCCATTTGTCAAAGGTCTAGTTCTGGAATGTGGGCCAAATTGAGTACTTGGCAAATGGATGTGTTTGACTTCTTGGTTATTTCCCAACTCCTCTTCCCTACTTCCAGCTTGGGTCTTGTAAACACAAAACTTCCACAGAGTGCAAAATTACAGATGGGTCCAGCAGCGGTTTCTCTGCTCGGATGTTTTTTTCTCCTTCCTTAAGTTTACCTAGCACTTGAGCAGAAAATGTGGCTCAGTTCAAATTGTACATTTAATTCTGCCCCAGTCTTCATTTGGTTAAGACAATCAATTACTCTCTCATTCACATGTCAACAGTTCAAGCTTAATTGTCCCTGTTTTGTTCTGACCTTATCCCTGCCTTGCCCTGAACCTGAAAGTATCAATTCTGAACCAAAAATATGTGACATTTGCCATCATGAAAACACACGTGTATCAGACAGAAACATACTCACTACTGCCTTAGATCAGAGTCTATCCTTAGCATATGTGTCCAAGGACTAGCAAGAATGACCCAGCCCAGCTCCAAGAGGCACACGCACTGGTGGCATTTCTGTGCACACACCTGTGCACCCAACCATGCACTGCAGAAGCTGAGACCATGACCCACACAGGGCCAGCACTGTTTTACTTCATCAGAAGCAATCAGGAAACAAAACTACCCCAGTGTTGCTGCCTTTTTGCTTTGTGGCAGTAGCTGTTCTCAGACCTCACCCATATAGTGCCTTCCCGCGAGATCTCACACCTTCAACCAGCTCCCTCTTAGGGCACTTGCTGAGCTCTCACACCGAAAGCTTCTCACTCCTTTCATTTGCTCCCTACTTTCATGATGCCCCACAGAACACTCTGATGAAGACAGAAAAACATCTTAAACCAGTAGGTCTGGTTTGAAAGAGTTTGTGAGGACCTTGAAAAGTACAATGGCATTTGCCTGGAGTCACAGTGCTTCATCCCAGTATTTAAGACGATCCTGCACATAAAAGTGTGGGTCCCTCACAACCTCAGATATTGCAGTAATCAAGGTCACACTAAATAGATAGAGGTTCCTTTGCCTTGTCCTGGTTTCAGCTGGGATAGAGTTAATTTTCTTCCTAGTAGCTGGTATTTTGGATTTGATGTAGTTTTGGATTTGGGATGAGAATAATGTTGATAACACACTGATGTTTTAGGTTTTGCTAAGTGGTGTTTACACTCAGTCAAGGACTTTTCAGCTTCCCATGCTCTGCCAGCAGGGAGGTGCAAAAACTGTGAGGGGGCACAGCCAGGACAGCCGACCAGACTGGTTAAAGGGATATTCCCTGCCATGTAACATCATGCTCAGTGTATAAACGGGGGGCAGTTGGCCGAGGGGCGGTGACCACAGTTTGGGAACTGGCTGGGCATGTCTGCGGGTGGTGAGAAATTGTATTGTGCATTACTTATTTCGTATATTATTTGATCATCATCACGATTATTTTCTCTTCCCTTGCTGTCCTATTAAGCTGTCTTTATCTCAACCCATGAGTTTTACCTTTTTTTTTTTTTTTTTTTTTATTCTCCTCCCCATCCTGTGGCAGGCAGGGCGGAGAGGAGTGCGTGGTGCTTAGATGCCATCTGGGGTTAAACCATGACAGGCTTCAGAAATGCGCCCTGGTTTTTCAAAGGTTATTGACAGACTTGGCACTAGAAAAGCATAAGAAAATATTCTCATCTGCCTTTGCACTGAACAAGTAGGATGCAGAAGTGAGATGAGTGGGTGTTGCATTAATACAAACTAAGTAGCAATTCTAGTGTCCAAGCTTCATTTCCCCACAAATATGTAACTCCCAGACATGCTCACTTTACCCTGAACGACCCGAAAGCATTGAAAACGCGTTGTTTTCCAAATTAGGTTACTGATGGAGAACCTGAGAGCATCGGGAGCCTCCCTGCGCGGGCTGCGAGGGACATCTTGTGGTGGCCGGCCCAGCGCTCCCGCACTGCAGCCGGGCTCCAGCAAGCGCCAGCGGCAGATGAAGACGAGATCCCAAATTCTCTCTCTCATTAGAGGAACCTAACTCGCTTAATACACGAGACATTAGTGTATAACCCAATCTTGCAATCTAGTTTACCATCCTGGTCTCCAGCTATGAACTCAAGGCATCTAAAAATAAAGCAGTGCACTCTCAGTAATATTTTATTAAATGCTGTCAAATCTAACGCAGCCTGCCTAACCTCGGTGTCACAAATATAATAGCTACTGGAAACAGCTCACCTAGCTTCAGTTTGAACCCGATTCAATGGAGGAAAGAGTCCAATTGTCCCTATAAGTTCAAGACCAGAGTTCTTAGCACAGAAAAGCTATGTTGGATCCGCGAGCCTGCCTTGTGCTTTACATTGGGTGGCATTACTCCAACTTTACAACTGAAGGCAGAGTTGAGCTAACAAACATCTCTTCCTCGCACAGGGGCTCCATCTACTTTAAGGACCCCACTAGCAAGGATTTCTAGATTTTTGTAGTGAACTCAGAAGCCACCAAATGCTGCCCTGTGACTGGCAACAAATCTTCATGGAGCTGACCAACATGCACTCCTAGCAAAGACCCAAACAACCTGGTCACCCCTGTCCTACACACCGCAGTCGAACAGTGGGACACATCCTGCTTTTATGTAACAGGTCTAACACACACCATGGCAACTTCTCTCTCCAGTATTTTTTTTTTAACTATTGAATTATTTCATATGCTCTACGCTACAGTTGCCTCAAAACAGATGTACTCCATCACAAAAATGAAAGCAATATTTATAGGTTTTATATCTGATTAATTGACCTAAAAGATCCCACTCCAGAGACAGCCACAAAGCCACAGGTTTTCAAAAAATGGGCTCTACATTTGGCTTTCTAGTTCAGAGTCATTTTAAAAAAAGAGAAGTACAGCCTCCAGCCACTAGTCACCCAGTCTGCAAGGTGGCATGAATATTCATTCCAAAATCAAATTTCATTTTTAATTCCTAGATCAACTTCTCTAGGTCTCTTCTAGGAAAAAAAAACCCAGAACAAACCAAAACAACAAACCCTACAAACCACATTTATTTGGAGGAAAAGCACCACAATTTCTTTTTTGGGGGAACACGGAGTGCTAAACACATGTGAAGATCCCTGCTTTCTGCAGAAGAACGCAACACCATTTGGAAACACCTATTCCGATCAAGAGCACTGCTAATACCTGCTGTGTCCAATACACAATATTGCTGAGATCCACATCTAACACGTACAGTCATATATTCAACCGTACCTATAAGAGGCACATCTGCTTGCAGGTTCGTTTGAGAACTGCCACTCCTCCAAAAGTCCCTCTTTCATGTTTAGCCCATAATTTAGCTCTCATTTATCCAAAATCCTAGAGAGGAATCCAACAAAAAGCGACAAATAGGGAAATGGGTGCTGATGCTGTACTCACCGGTGAGCTGCTGTCGGAAAAGGTGTTCATGCTGATGGACCTGCTCATCTTGTCCGAGGAGAGGGATGGTGGGGAGGGACTGCGCTTGTCCAGCTGCTCGTGCTGTGGCAGGTCCTGGCGCTGCAGGTACTCACGCCATGCTCGCTGGATGCTGAGGCAAACACCAAGGCACAGGGTTGGGGGAATGCCACACCAAAAAGGACTTAAAAATATATACTCTTGACTGAAGAGGTGGGGTTTGGTGGTTTTCTCTTTTTTAATGCACTTTGTTTTCTGATTTGGATAATGATCATACGTAACTACCTTCTGTAGGTCTTATATCAGCCAGTACTAGTACAACTTGGGGTAGCTGTTAAGTAGAAGCAATTCTTTATTTCAAATCTCTAAACATACAGAAGTGATTTAAATCTGAGACTGTACATAACTCAGCAATTCTCTTACATCTTCAAACAAAATCAAAACATGAAATTATCTGTTTAAAAGAATGAACAGCCTTCAATATTTTATATCGGCTTTCAGATTATAACGCAGATATGGTTGGAAGTTCAGAGCCAGACCAGTTTCCTTTAAAATCTCCTCCATCCTGGGTAGTTGGGGACTTAAAACCTGCTCCAAAACAATGTGTGGGGATTGCGGTAGGAGCTGTGCTTCTAAACGCTAAACTTTGACCAAGTTTCAAAAATCTGATGTGAAATTCCATAAAGGAATTCGGTTTCCTGTGCCGGCCGGTGGCCGGGGAGCTGGAGGCCAGGGCAGCTCTCACCAGGTGGCAGTGCCAGACTGCCTGTGCCTTCCCGAAGGTGCCGGGGAGGCCAGAGAGAGATGCTGGGAATTAAAACTGTGTTTACAATAGTAACGGCATTAACACTAAGGATGTGGGTGTTTGCCGCCAGGATGGCCTGTGAACTCTGCAAAAAAGCGGAGCTAAATTCTGACCTGAGACTCAGCAGCGTTGCTGCAGTGCAATGAGCTAGAAAGAGCTCCTTTTAGGATTTTTAAGCAATTGAGAGTTTATTCACAGGGATATCAAATCAGTAAAACCTTCGGTGTGTCGGTCAGTCAGGCAGAGTACCCTGACCTTTGCTTAAGCTGTTCTCAGTGGTGCAAAGCCCTTGCGCTGCTCTGCCCAGGCGGCTGTGCGGCGCTCCCCCACCCTGCCTGCTCCCGAAGGGCTCGGCACGCTCAGCACCCAGCCTTGCTGCTGGGGTGCTCCCCGGGAGGGGTCCCACGCCCAAACCCCGCCTGGCCCTGCTCCCACGCACGGTGCCTGCACCCCGGGGCAGTGCAGAGGGCAACGCTCCTTCCCGAAGGGACCTTACCGTGCGCTTCACGGTTCGAACCAAAGGGTCCAAAGACTTTGGTGTGGATTTACTTTGTCCTAGGAATGCTTTTCTTTTTTTTTAATGTTGCCTTTTTAACAGTTAAAATGTCATTTCTGCTCCTACTTCCACAAGCCAGAAAAACATTTCGCACCCAGACACTGCTGAAAAGGCATTTGATTACAGACTGGCACGTCCAACTTCTTGGCTCTGCAGGAGGAGGACAAAGCTCAACACCAGGACACCTACAGAGCTGGGAACTCCAGACCGAGGGAAGGAAGTGCCTCTTGGCACGGAACTTTTCCTGGTGACGGAAAAACGCTCTCAACATACGTGGCATTTTGAACACCTCAAGGTTGAGGAAATCAAATACATGTATTCTATTATTTTTTTAGAAGAATGGTAGATCAGAAACAAAACAGCGTTCATTGCCGCCTCACCAGGATAGGTGCACTTTAGAGCCAGTCAGGTAGGTTACGTCCTGTGTTGTTTTCATACAGGAGCTTTAAAATGAACAGCAAAGCTCCCAAATGTGAGTGCCAATGGCGGAGCTTCCAGTAAATGCATTTTGCTTTAAAACATCCCCACATCTTCACACCTCAAACATTTACACTTTGCATTGTTTCAGTTTCCAGCTTTACTGCATACAAGTAGTATTTACAAATTGATATTTGCATATACTTTCTATTTTAAAGATTGAGAATACACTGAGCTGAAGTCATAACTACCCTTCTCTGAAAATTTATTCTTTCAAATGGCTTATATTTGCATGACTAAAAGATGCTGGCTGGATTTTAATCTGAAACTTCATGTCCTTTTAATATTTTAATATAGCATTAATATTTTAACGTCCTGTATAGCGAGTTAGCTGCAGGTTTTCCGCCGAGAGTGAAATGCAGTATGTAATGTAGCAACTCATACAACTCTGTGTAAAGCAAAATTTTGCTATGAAGGGGTTTCGGCGTAAAGATGGTCATATTTTTGGATGTAAGTGGAGCCCTGTTAAACTTCCGCTGTCTGCCGGGAAGTCCAGTGGCACCGCGTTAGTGCAGACTTGGTGCCAGCCGGATGGAGCTAATGCCTGCACCAGGGCTGGAGGCACAACGCCGGAACAGGCAGAAAGAGGAGTCCTCTGCTCTGTTTGATAGACACATCGGTAAGTTTTAGGTTATATCCCTGCAGTTACCACGTATATTACAACATGGTCAAGCCTTTTAGAATAACTGACCCCATGGCAAACTAATGCAACGTGCGGGAAATGTATTACAAAGGCTAAAATGTTTGCATCTGGAAGTCGGGGAGTTCATTACCAGGACACAGGGATGTTTGTCTCTTCCTTCCAGGTGGTGCAGCTAGATGTCATCTATGTGCCTTGGCCGAGGGCTAGCAACTGCCTCGCTTTCCAGTAAAACCCAGCTTGCTTAGAGCCACAGAGCTGTGCTGCACCCCCAGCCCAGGAGCCCTTGTCCCCTCAGGCTTACGTCTCCATCCCCGTGCAAACCCAAGGACTGCTCCTTGCAGGGGAGTCCCGTGAGCTGACGGCGGAGCTTTAGCCAGGCTTCATGTTAGATGTGAAAAAATACCACTGCAGAGGCTTCTGCTTGCTCTGTATTATACGTCTCCCCACCAGGATTTCTCTGTATACATGAAAAATCTAGCAGATTCTCAAGTATTCTATAGTTTCACAGAGGAAATCACAACATAGTGCAACGCTGAAGTTTAACACTTGAAACTCGGTTCAAAGAGAATGTTCGCATGCGTAAAGGTAGACAAGGGCTTAGCTACCTTGCGAAATTGAGGCTTTTTTAAAGTTAGACAGAAATTCATGATGGATACACTGCTTGGCTTCTGCAGTTCAGGAGTTGGACAAACTCAGCTGCATTTAAAGGCAAATTAGACATTCTTTGTTACTTACATTTTCACTTTTGATTCCAAGGGCTGTAAGCTGATATGATATTTTTCAATATTATTTTCTTCATCCATGGCAAGCTGATGGCTATGGAAAAGAAAAAAAAAAGGGTTTAATGTGTCTCAGTGTGACATTTTTGCAATCACTATGAATTAATTCAGAAATTTTGACAGGAACGTACAAGAGCTGCTCATTAGAAGGTATCGCTGTCTTTGGAGGAAGGCATCTCGTTCCCCATCTCCAGCCCCATTTGACTGTTATCCAAAAGTACCAATTTGGACCTAGTTTCCAGATCAGAGCCCGCCTGAGTCCTTGCACTAAATCTTCCAGATGCCACAGCTCTAAAGACAGGCACACCCAGCAAAGAAGCTGCTACAAACAAACAAAAAAACCCAACCCTGACAAATATAATAGATGTTCTTGCTAAATTAACTTTCATCCCTGGGGCTACATTTGAAAAGCTGGAGAGTAAAATGAAAGTAACAATGGTAATGCCAGTAGCAAATGAATTGCATCAGCAATAGCCATACAGGAATATGAAGAAAAAATTCTTTGTAATAAATGATGACCAAGGAATTGATGCTGCAAACCGATTGCTTTGAGAAAGCAATTTTAAAATGCTAGAAGATAAAAATCAAACATCTCAGGGCTGCTTTGGATAGGACTAGAAACATGAATGAAAGGTCTTCGCATGAAAATTTGTAAGATTAGACCCCAACCTGTGGAGTTATTTTGAGACTTTACTGGACACTTAATAACATCGTTCAATCAGCAGCAGTTTTCAGAAATTATCCTCCTGTAACTAAAGATAAGAATTGTTTATGGGAGAGATACAAAACTTTGAGTGTTTAGTATATTACCAAGTGAGAAACATGGTCTACAACAAAGAGACTGTCCCTCAGAAAGGGCTTATTGCCTTGTAAAAGCCATTTCACATATGAGATATCATGGAAATCACACATTTACCTTTGAAGCAAGTCTTTGCCATCATTGACCTGTTCCAAGGTGTGCTGGAGCCTTTTGAGTTCTTCCTACAAGGAGAGAAAAAACATTTCAATACGCTTATAGGAAAACCTTAGTTGACACTGGAGATTCCCCCTCAACCTCAAGACGTAATGAGCCCACCACTAAACAAAACTGTCCCTTGGGTAATGTTTAGGGGGTTGCTTTCAGATTTAGGTATCCAAAATAACTATGAAGAAACCAATGTATTTATCAATATGTCCAGCAGATAAGTTTGAAGGAAAATATCAGACCTACAAAAAAAAAAAATAGGCAGAGCAAAAAGGAAAGTATTCTTTCATGTCTTAGGTGTGCGGCTGCTTTGATTTCAGAGATGGTCTTGGTAAGAGGCAAGTGAGCATCAGCTCATACTTTCAGGCACTTCTCTCTGTTCCACAACCAAACAGTATTCAGTCTCATAATTAAGAGTCACTGGCTGAGATTTACAGTCCGATGCCTTCACCAGGGCATTTGCATCAGATTCTGTTTCAACAGAAGAGATGTCACAAACTTAATTGCAGATGCACAGCTGGGGGTCCCTGCATCCATGCTAATGTTCTGGGAAAATCTACCCATGGTGTTCAACACAGAGATACGGCTTAAAAACCTAAATTGTACCCGGCTGGCGGGGTTTTCTTGTTCAGAAGGGGTGGAAGTTGAGGGGTGGAGAGGAAACCTGGTCGCAATGAAGTGCGTGCTCCAGGGGATGCAATTCCTGGGCTGAACTTCCCGTTTCCTCACAGGGCACAACCCCACAGAGGGCCCTGGCGTCACTGGGACATGCATGTGCAGAGGACACACGTCCCAGTCTCCTTAAAAGCTGGGCTGACAAGCAAACGCTGACTGTGATGCAATGCAAAGAGCATCACCCTGCCGAGATGCGGGGATATGCCTTCAGGATTGTGTTCATACATCAACTGTTTGATAATTAAGCAACACTGGAAAATGAGGAATCTATGCAAAACACAAAGATGTTAGCCCATGACTTCTTTTAGCTCATTAAGTTGGGAATCAAATGTAAAAGCAAAAGCTACTCAGAATAAGGAAGGAATGTAATTTACTTCACACCCAGCTTGCATACAGACACAGGATTCAGAGGAAGGCTAAGAACTTTAAAAAGGCAAAACAAGGATATTTTTGTTTTGCGTATCTTATCTGACCCAGGGATGTATCAAAGAATTTTGTTTCCAATAAGACTGCTGCAATCTCCAGGAGCACAACAGATCAGCCAACTCTACCTCCCGCTTTCCCAAATGAAGCTGATTTTGTAAAACACAGAAATTTTATGTCGTGCTTTTTAATCCTGTACAAGATTCCACCCTGTTCGACATGAAACAAGTTCACAGTTGGTAGCTGATTTACTCCTAATAGAGCTTTTATTTCCTTCCAGCCTTGGAAGGACTATTACTGCAAAATATGTTTTATGCATAAATGAGATTTGTCAAGACGACAGGTTAGATGTTTCCCCAGTCTTTGCCCCTCTGGGTTTCTAATTGTAGCACCATTTTGGACACGCTGCAGCTGATAAAGCAGTGCACGTGATTTGGGAGGCCTGGCTACTGCCTCCGCTCATCAGCCGTTGGAAATAATCCAGTCATGAAACTTCTTTTTATTTTTGCCTTCCTTTTTTTTTTTTGGCCTGCTCTGAGGAACAACCTCTTCTGGCATACTAAAAACAAGCAACTTTCAAAATTGTTTTCTTTGAAGCACAGTTCAGTTCAAAGATAACCTTTTCTTCTCCCATATTATTCCGCCGGTCATTTTTTCAGCGTATCCCAGAGCTACGTACAGTAATTTAGAATGGGAAAACAATTTGCAGTTGACTTTATATATAGCTCTGGGTGACAAAACCTGCATGACTTACATAAATCATTCCTTGTGTTTGACATCATTTTCTATTAACCTCAGGGTGAAGACTGAACAAAAAAAAAAGTAAAAACCAAAATTGGTTGTGACATTTTTGACTATTCAGTCTTTCAATTAAACATCACCGGACAGTCTTTGTAAAAGCCGTAATACAAGGCAACTACAGAAGGGGCATAGTAATGTTTGCATAATTGGAAAGAGAAGGAGACATAAAATCTATACTAATTTCAGTTTTGCGTCATTAACCATGAAGTATTGATTATTGCTCCTTGCGACAGAATTTATGAAGCCAGCTATGCTGCTGCGCCCACAGAAAGCGCTTCGGATGCTCTGCCCGCAGCCCCCGGCGGGGTAGCTGGTGGGCGGCAGCGACAGCCGGGACGCTGCTCTTCCAACCCACAGCCTGAGGAGACGCATCTCCCCGCTTACGCCAGGAGTGACCCAGCTGCAAACTCGAACTTCAGAAAATTAAACTGGAAGAGATCCATACTTCTGTTGGAACACACGAGGAACTACGACGCCTCTATAAACCTTGTTATAATGTAAACATATTGTAAAATCTACTGCAGTTTTCGTTTTCCTGCTTCAGTCGAACACTGACATTAACAGCCATCGGGTAGCTACAGATAGATATAGATACCTAAGAAAGAAAAAGCAACAAAAGCTTGAAGTGCAAGACCAGCATTAAGAGCAAACTAAAGTGCCTTTTTCTAGTCTTCAACGTGCACATTCTGCTTATGCATGAATTATTTTTCAGCCCGTAGGTCTGTACTTTTAGGAAGCTAGGCTGTTGCAGCGACTTAACTATTGCCAGGAAACCCTGTAGCCCTGCGGGACAGAAAAGACCAAGGGGCTCAAGCCTACAGACCCCGGCCCGGGAGAAGCCTGTGTAAAAGAGCTGTCTTAAGCTGCACTGAGCTGGCTCCCAGCGCAGTTGGCGCATTGTAAAAGCCTGGCTTGGCTTTGCTGTTAGTTCTTACTTAGAGCAAGAAGATTCTGGGTCCCTCTACCTTTTTCCACTGCAAAGAGCTGTGTTGGGCTCCAAGCAGCTCAAGGACAGGCTCTGTGTGTGCGTGTCCAGTGTGATGATTTAGCAATCTCACCCAGCTGCCTTCAGCACTTTTCAGGGTCTTTTTTTAATGGAGGGGTGCAGAGGTTGCCGTAGACCTTGGTCCTTGTTCGGGCTTGCGCAGAAATGTCACCTCTCGTTTGACAGGCGATGGCAGCCAGCCATCCCGGGCAGGTTCAGATGTGAGGAGCAGAAATCTAAAACAACCTAAATGTACAAGTCCCTAAATTCCTTTTGAAGAAGTCTGCTTCAAAAAACAATTATTAGTGCAAATTCTAAGGGAAGAAATCTGCAGATGTTAAATCAAACCTAAATAAATATTTACCTCAAGTAGCAAGCAACGATTCCTTTTTGTTGCTGTACCTAAAAATATCCATTCAGGTCAGTGGAGCTATTTATACCTGTGGGTTTAGACCAGCACAGAGAAAACAGGGCAGAGGCCACATATTAAAAATTAATTTTCAAAATAATTTTTGGACATTCACACTAGTCCTTGAGTATATCTGCCTAAGAAGTCTGTCGCTTGCTGCTGAATGAATATACAACAGTGCTTCCCAAGAGGTCAGAGAGATGGAGATGGGAAGAGAAAGCACCAATTTCAGTAGAACTGCAGCCCAAAAATAACAGTAATAAAAGGGATTTTTTTCCATTTTATAAATAAGAGTGAGTATAGCAGTTATTCAAACATGTCAGCTTTTGGTAGTACTCTCTCTTGTTGGTGTTCTTTCAAATTTTAATCAGAATTTTGTTGAATGGTGATTTTCAGATTTAGAAATGAAATACGAATTAGCCTCGCTGACATGGGTTAGTTACTGCAGGGAGACGCAGCATGGATGTTCAGGGTGGATCCTGTATCGAGCCTGCCGCTCACCTCTGATGGTCCCACTATGAGGGTGGTGAGACAATGGAACAGGTTGTCCAAAGACGTTGTGGATGCCCCAACCCTGGAAGTGTTCAAGGTCAGGTTGGATGGGGCTTTGAGCAACCTGACTGTGTCGAAGGTGTCCCTGCCCAGGGCAGGAGGGCTGGAACTGGGTGATCTTTAAGGTCCCTTCCAACCTAAGCCATTCTATGATTCTCTTGCTAGGTCTTTCCACCTCCTTTCTTGTGTGCATCTCGTCCATTTAGGTCACAATATCTTCAGGGAAGGTAACAGGTCTTCTTTTTCACTTGTGCATCAGGGCTCTGATCTTGATTAGTTAAAATAGAATGTGGTTATCAACCACTGATTAATAGCAAACAGTTTCAGACTCTTCCATCAAATACTGCCTGTCTTTCCCTTCCACGGCTCACCTTCAGTGCAGGGGGACCACAGTCCCTCTGCTACAAAGGTTGCTCCTGGTGAGCACAGGGTGAGTGCAGGTTCTGTCCACACCCTTGTCTTTCCAAACAAGCCAAAGAAGGTGTCAACCAAAACCCAAGGACTGCTCAAGGAAAGAAAGTGTCACACTGAACAGAAAAGGAGGCCAAGAGTAGGAAACAAGGGGCAAGGGTGACTGAAACGTTTCAGGCTGGCAAGGGGTTACCACTAACCCGAGTGCCACTGGGATGACCGATAAGCATCATGGCTGTTCAGCACAAACGAGCGTGTGCTGGTGCTGCAGCAAGGTTCGTGAGGATCTGGCTGATAAACGGAGCACACATGGGAACAGCGGCCGCTAGGCAGTTAGCTCACACGCTTGCTGCCCGTGTTTCCATTTCTAGGTCATTGAGAGATACTTCACTCACTATGCATTTTCTTAGTTTATTGAGAATAAAGTTATGCTTGTAAGAGCCCAGCTGCTACAATTTAAGTTATTCTCTGAAAAGAAGGACCACAGTGCTTTCCACTGTTCTGCAGCACAGGTGAACTCTGGGGGAATTTTTTCAAAAACAAGTTTCCTGTAAGTTTACCAGCTAATATCTTTACAGAATATGGTCTAATTTTCCAAACGTCCCCTTAGATCCTCCTTACCATGTGACTCAGTTGACGAGTCTTTTATGGCTTCTTGCTCAGTTTGGCGTGTTTAGAAATCTGTTGTACCGTTGGTTTTTTCCCATCCCTGACATGTCACGCACGTCTATGAGGACCCCCCAGGCACAGCAGCGGAGCATTATCTACAGCACTAGCACTGAGAAGTGCCTTCTGGCTAAAAGGACTTCTTGTCCAAGCACTCTGAAATCTCTGTGCTGCTTTAGACTGCTTTCAGATTGACTTCTGAGGTTTACCACAGAAGTTCAGGGTGGAGCCAGGGGTGCAAATTTGGGATCATTTGAATCAAGCTTTCCTCTAACACTGTCCCACAGAGAAAAAAAGAATTGCAGCAGAAATACTACGGCACTTCAGATAGTTTCTAGACTGCTTTCTGCTTTTTGCACCCTGGGCTGTTCAGCACATTGTGTGACCCAACACAACAACTGGCAGCTGAGTCCCTTACCCTGCCTGGGGCTGGCTTGGGTTTCAGGAGCTGGAGCCCAGTGTTGGGTTCTAGGTACATCGTTCAGTCCTTTCACTAAAAACCTAACGAGGCAGAGAAGGAAAAGATTTGTTAGAGCAGCGAGTTTACTGTTCTGCCAAAGGTAAACTCCTCGCTGCATCCTTTCTCAGAGTTTTACTCATTACATTTTAAAATTCCCAGGGGATGCATTTGCCTCCTATTTCACAGGACACTTGCATTACTTAGTAGATGAATTGGTAATATTTTAATTTTCTTCACGTAAAGCCCTTCCTCCCTTTTTATACCCTATGGACATAATATCTAATTGTTTCTCTTCCCAAGATGGAGGAGGGCATGACATTGCTCTCTCCTCACTTCTCATTTAAACAAAATAGGACTCAATACAAAACTTCATTGACTAAGTGTAAACCCCGCATAGGGAACAAAAGTGGAAAGTCTTGGCCTTTGTATATTTGAATGGAGCTTGTGCCTAATCCCTTTGCTACGATCCTGGTTACGTAAGGATGCCCAGGACAGCTGATATATTAATTCCTCTTATAAGCGGGTGTAAACAGCCGGCAGGGAAACACAGCAATGCTGGTGATATCTCCCAGGGGATGGGAGCACTCACAGGATGACCTGTTGAGCTCTTCTCCACTTTCTGTGATATCAATAATTTTTTCTTTTCCTTCTTTCAGCTCTGCCCTCAGGAAGAGTAATCTATCGCACCATGGCTACAGAACGTTATTTCATAGTTACAGCAGCTCTGGAAACCTTGCACAAGGATGAATACCATTAAAAAGCCAAGTCAGATTCCTTTTAAAAAGCTTCTTCTTTCTGATGCTGTCACTGCGGTCACGGCTTTCATCAGCACCGCTTCTGCCTCAAAATACACAAGCTTTTAACTTTCGCCAAGGGAACCAACTAGAGAGAATGAAGCCTCTTGACATCTTGGCTTCTCTGTTGCCAAAGTGCTTCTGAAACTACAGCCAGTCTGAATACAGAGGAAAATGTCTGGAACAACACAAGTGCTATAGGAGACTCAGCAAAGAAAGCATGTCATAGGTTACAGGTCAAGGGAATAGGAAAAAGTTATATATCCAAACACACACACAGGGATTCAAGTCCATGGCAAGAAAACCAATTTCTCACTGAAGTCCAGAAATTTTTGGAGCTAATTATAACAGCTACCCTACAAGTGGCAGCAGGCACTAAATGATTCCCTTATGGGATGAAGAGATACTATAACCATATCTAGGATTTTAATGCCATTTGTATGGGACCTGATGTGACAGCGCAAAACCTTGTAAATCACCATAGCTTCACTGAATCAGAGAACGTGTTACATGTTTTCCACTATATGTTGCCTTTACTACAACGACAACCTACACCAGAGCCAGAACTGGTCAAGACAGCAACCAACGTGCTGTAGGAAACACTGATTTTTTCAAAAGCAAGTTTCCATTTGGACCAAAACCCAACATTTTTGACATGCCAGATGCCACCAGACCCACTGTGAGAGCAACCAGCCTTCCCTGCAAGTCCTGGATAGCAAAAGGCAGCCCCAAAATCCCAATGGGCACGTCCAGTGTTGGAAGAGCCATGGAGGCAACAGGGCCAAAGCTCACCAGGGCTGACCACCTGTGAACACTGCACTGAAGAGAGGGCAAAGCCTAACAACAACATATTTCAGAAGAAATGAAGCTTTCCAACCCAGTGTTGGTTCATGCAGAACAGTACTTTAATCTTCAAGAAAGGAAAGTAAATGGCAACCCTGGTGGTTGTGTTGCTTTATGGCACAAAAGCTGCACCTTGGAAAGAACAGCATTGGCCAAGTTACATGGGGAATGGTAGGTGAATGTTTTTATGGAGACGAGACATGTCTGTCACCAACAGTCCAGGTTTCTTCATCTGAACCATTACTTTACCCT